TTGTCTTCTTGTTACTGAGTTGTAAAACTCTTCATATATTCTGGCCTCAGAAGATTTGCAGACAGTCTCTCCCAGTCTGTGACTTACCTTTCCACTTTCTTGAGCCTCTTTTAAAGTGAAGTTTGTGATTTTGATGAAGTCCCAGAGATCCGTTTTCTGTGTTATCTGTTGTGCTTTTGGTGCTGTGCTTGAGAACTGTTTCCTTGATCTAAGGCTATGAATATTTTCTCATTTTTTTCTTCCAGTGGTTTTGTAATTTTAAATTTTACATTTAAGCCTATGATGCATTTTGACGTAACTTTTGTGTACACTGTAAATTATAGGTCTAAATTCTCTTTTTTTTGTGTGTATAAACATCCAATTGTCTTAGGCTTCCCTGATGCTTCAGGGGTAAATAATCTGCCTGCATTGTAGGAGACGCGGGTTCTACCCCTGGGTCAGGAAGATCCCTAAGAGGAGGAAATGGCAATCCTCTCCAGTGTTCTTGCCTGGGAAATCCCATGGACAGAGGAGCCTGGCGGCTACAGTCCATGGGGTTGCAAAGAGTCAGACGTGACTTAGTAACTAAACAACAACAACATTTTTCAAATATCTTGTTCACCATAGGCTATAGATAAGAGTTGTGGAGCACATAGAGAGAAAGGCTTTGAAGCCTGCACTGTACAGGTTGGCGGCATGCAAAGCTGGTTGGTTACTGTTGGTAGTTAGCATCATGTGGCCTGGTTGATTTGAGTGGAGTACAGACACTGAGGTGGTGAGGAATGTATTGACTCCTGTTAGGGTGACAGCGTTGTCAGCTACTGAAAAAGATGATATACTGCAGCCCAGCAAGGGCTCCTGTCGCCTCAGGTAGAAAGCAAGTTCTGACAACAGGTTTTCCCACCTGAATGCAGAGTTCCAGAGAATAGCAAGGAATGATAAGAAAGTCTTCTTAAGTGAACAATGCAAAGAAATAGAGGAAAACAATAGAATGGGAAAGATTGAGATCTCTTCAAGAAAATTAGAGATACCAAGGGAACATTTCATGCAAAGATGGGCACAATAAGGGACATGGGCCTAACAGATGCAGAGGAAATTAAGAAGAGGTGGCAAGAATACACAGAAGAACTATACAAAAAAGGTCTTAACGACCCAGATAACCACAATAGTGTGATCACTCATCTAGAGTCAGACATCCTGGAGTGTGAAGTCAAGTGGGCCTTAGGAAAAATTATTAGGAACAAAGTTAGTGGAGGTGATGGAATTCTAGCTGAGCTGTTTCAAATCCTAAAAGATGATGCTGTTCAAGTGCTGCACTCAATATGCCAGCAAATTTGGAAAATTCAGCAGTGGCCACATGTAGAATCCTCTCTTCTGTTGTTGGAAGAGGGTGTTTGCAATCACCAGTGTGTTCTCGTGGCAAAGCTCTGTTACCCTTTGCCCTGCTTCATTTTGTACTCCAAGGCTAAGCTTGCCTGTTACTACAGGTATCTCTTGACTTCCTACTTTTGCATTCCAATCTCCTATGATGAAAAGGACATCTTTTTTGGGTGTTAGTTCTAGAAGATCTTGTAGGTCATCATAGAACCGTTCAACTTCAGCTTCTTTGGCATTCGTGGTTGGGGTATAGTCTTGGATTACTGTGGTAGTGAATGGTTTGCCTTGGAAACGAACAGAGATCATTCTGTCATTTTTAACAGAAAAACTCAGCACTGGCCACAGGGATGGAAAAGGTCAGTTACCATTCCAATCCCAAAGAAAGGCAATACCAAAGAAAGTTCAATACCAAAGAATGTTCAAACTACCACACAATTGCACTCATCTCACATGCTAGCAAAGTAATGCTCAAAATTCTCCAAGCTAGGCTTCAACAGTACATGAACCAAGAATTTCCATATTTACAATGGATTTAGAAAAGGCAGAGGATCCAGAGATCAAATTGCCAACATCCATTGGATCATAGAAAAAGCAAGAGAGTTCCAGAAAGACATCGACTTCTACTTTACTGACTAAGCCAAAGTCTTTGACTGTGTGGATCACAACCAACTGTGGAACATTCTTCAAGAGGTGGGAATACCAGACCACCTTACCTGCCTCCTAGGAAATCTGTATGCAGGTCAAGAAGCAACAGTTAGAACTGGATATGGAAAAACGGACTGGTTCCAAATTGGGAAAGGAGTATGTCAAGGCTGTATTGTCACCCTGCTTATTTAACTTCTATGCAGAGTACATCATGTGAAATGCCAGGCTGGATGAAGCACGAGCTGGAACAAGATTGCTGAGAGAAAAAACCTCAGATATGCAGATGACACCATCCTTATGGCAGAAATCTAAGAGGAACTAAAGAGCCTTTTGATGAAGATGAAAGAGGAGAGTGAAAAAGCTGGCTTAAAACTCAACATTCAAAAAACAGAGATCATGACATTCTGTCCCATCACTTCATGGCAAATAGTTGGGGAAAAAGTGGAAACAGTGACAAACTTCATTATCTTGGGCTCCAAAATCACTGCAGATGGTGACTAGGGCCATGAAATTAAAAGATGCTTGCTACTTGGAAGAAAAGCTATGACAAACCTAGATAGAGTATTAAAAAGCAGAGACATCACTTTGCTGATGAAGGTCCATTAGTCAAAGCTATGTTTTTTCCAGTAGTCATGCACAGATATGAGAGTTGGCCCATAAAGAAGGCTGAGTGCGAAAGAAGTGATGCTTTTGAACTGTGGTGTTGGAGAAGACTCTTGAGAGTCCTTTGGACTGCAAGGGGATGAAACCCGTCAATCCTAAAGGAAATCAGTCCTGAATATTCATTGGAAGGACTGATGCTGAAGCTGAAGCTCCAATACTTTGGCCACTTGACGTGAAGAACTAACTCATTTGAAAAGACCCTGATGCTGGGGAAGACTGAAGGCAGGAGGAGAAGGGGGCGACAGAGGATGAGATGGTTGGATGGCATCACCGACTCAATGGACATGAGTGTGAGGAAACTCCCAAGGGGTAGTGAAGGACAGGGCATGCTGAGGTCCACGGGTGTTGCGAAGAGTCAGAGAGGACTGAGTGACCGAAGAGCAGGCAAGGGTGGGGACACAGCCCTCAGATCTACGCAGACTGACTCAGAGAAGCCTCCGACCTACTTGGTCTTTGAGTTAGGGGATTTTTTAAAAAAGGGCACAAAGAGGCTGGGATTAATCATCCTTTTGTGACATTTGGGATCTAGTTTCAGGAATCATGATGTCTCTGGTTTACACTCTCAGGCCAGGTGGCCCATGGCTCCAGGATCTGTGAGTTCACTGTGCCCTGGCGAAACAACCTGAGTGGGTGGTTAATCTCTGACAGCAATTTAAGTCCATTAATGCTGTTATGAACAGTAGCAGTCAGTCACCTGATGCTGATTAATTAGTGTTCAGCGAGCACAGGTTGAGGTCAGAGGGAACAAGAAAGGGATAAAGTTTGGGGTGGAGAGATTAATCATGAACTCAGTCAGGGAACTCAGTTTTAGGGGGGCTCAGTGTCACTACTAGGAATAACTCTCTAATTAAGTTGATTGTTGGGGCAGGGCTACCTTTGTAAGCGCTGCTAATAGTCGACTATCTTTTTGCCTTTTTACACAGTTCATGGGGTTCTCACAGCAAGAATACTGGAGTGGTTTGCCATTCCCTCCTTGGGCAGCAGAGGATGAGGTGGTTGGATGGCATCACTGATTCAATGGACCTGAGCTTGGGCAAACTCTGGGAGATGGTGAGGGACAGGGAGGCCTGGCATGCTGCAGCCTGTGGGGTTACGAAGAGTCAGACATGACTTGGTGAGTGAACAATAACAATAGTCATCATGTTGCCATTAATGGAAGAAATGTTTGTGCCCTGGGCTAACGTTACGGTTCAGCTGTGAGTACTTCAGGTTTTCCCTGGTGGCTCAGCCAGTAAAGAACCGGCCTGCAATGCAGGAGACCCAGGGTCTCCTGGGTCCTGGGTCAGGAAGATCCCCTGGAGAAGGGAACGGCAATCCACTCCAGTATTCTTGCCTGGGAAATCCCATGGACAGAGGAGCCTGGTGGGCTGCAGTCCATGGGGTTGCAGAGTCGGACCCGACTGAGTGTGTAAACAAAGCATCCTTTCTCGTGAGGTGAGGCTGTGAGCAGCTCTAAGGGCCAAAGCCCGTCTGCACCATCACAGCATCTGGGTGAGGACAGCTAAGGTGCGGTGCGGCCCACGGAGGAGCATGATGAGCGGGCAGAGCTATTATGACTACTCTTCCTTCGCAGGATGAAAGGCCTGGATCTGCTCTGCGGCTTGAAGGCTTGAGAGTTGAGTGCTGCGGCTACAGGAACCGTAGATCCTGCATGGGGACGTCTACACGTGCAGTCAGAGGTGTGACCTGTAGAGGAGTGTTTTCACTGGTAAAGGTCTCATGTGTGATAACTGTATGACAATATTGGATAGAGTCAGATATTGCTTGGGTTGAGTACTGGATTTATTGAAGAGTTTCGTGAACTCGTGACACTTCAGAGGACTCCAGCAGCTGTGGCTAAGGGCCCAGTGGAGGGGCGGGCTGGGGTGCCATCCGGCTTCCAGCCACAGTTGGCCCAGCTTGGGGTCTGAAACCCCTGGTGGCAAGGCCTGCAGCATCAGAACACAGGTGGGTGAGGTGCAGGCAGTGCGGATCCCAGCGTGTGGAGAGATGGGGTGGCAGGGCTGAGCCAGGTCTCGGGAGCGGGCTGAGAGCCACTCCTGGGGAGGGTCATGGGTGTGACCAACGGGTGGAGGGGGACCCAGTTACCTTGTCAGCACAGCCAGGATCCCTGGCCCCTGACCTGTGTCCAGACACGCCCACACGGGGGCCATAAAACCTGGAGAGGCGAGGGCGGGAGGAGCAGGACCAGGCGTCTGGACACCTGGGCTGCCGGCTACCTGGGTCTGAAACTGTGGGCCCCCGCGAACACCCTCTGCACCAGGAAGGCGACCCTGACATGAGAAGGTAATGCGCAGCACTCTTAAACCCAGGTCCCCCCCAAACACCCCGTCTTATCACAGCTTTGCTGGGCGGTTTCTTGGGTCCGGAGCCCCAGTGCAGGGACCAGGCTTGGGGCACCTGTGCCCAAAGCCCAGCTTGGTTCTGGACGGGGGTCCAGGCTCTGTCTGGCTGGCCCCCCAGGCGCTGGCTCCTCCCAGGTGTTCTGGGCCCGGGGACAGAGCTCTCCCTCCTGAGTCCCCCAGAACGGTCGTTGTCCCCAGGGCTCCATCTCCAAAGGCCACCCCTGTGGCTAGGGAGAGAGAGCCCCTGTCTCTTGGGGCGCCTTGGCCCTGAGGAGAAGCACCGGAGAGGCCCTGGAAGCAGGTGGGAGAGGCCAGAGTCCGAGGAGGCAGCTCTATGACGGAATGGAAATGGGTCAAGACGATGAGGTAGGGCTGGAGGCACGGGGGGCCCTGGGGGCGGGGGCAGCTGGAACCCAAGGGGCCGCCACCCTGGGAGCTGGGGCTGAGGCCGGGGAGTCCTGCGGCTCCTGCTGGGCGCCGCCCCTTCTCATGTCCGAGCTCCCCTGGCCCTCCTGTCCTGGGGGCTCTTCCAGGCACCCCAGCTTGGACACAAGGTGGGCCCATCAGTGACATGGGGGCCTCCTGGCGTTCGGAGCCTCTGCCTAGGGCTCGGTGCCCAGATCAGGCCAGGGCCCTGTAGTCCAGGGCAGGGGCCTGCCCTTTGCCCCTGCGGTGTGCATGGAAACCCCATGAGTCACCTGGAGGGGTAAAGGTCTCCGTGGGGCTGGAGGTGAAGCTGGGGTATCGGGCAGGAAGCCTTGGTCCCTCCCCTCAAACATGGCCCCCAGGCCCTCCCCAGGAGCGAATGCTCCCTGCACAGGGACAGCTGAGCCACGCTTGGCGGGTGAGACGGTCTGTTTATTTAAGAGAAACCTCACTGGAGTCAGGCAGCATCCAGTCAGCAGACAGAAGGGGCTCGAGCGACACAGAAGGGGAGGCTGTGCTGGGCGGCGGCCCGAGTGGGACACGCAGCAGCTGCGGGCGGCCAGCGCGGCGGGCTGCCCTCCACCAGGGCCTGGAAGGCAGGGGCTGCAGGCTGCCGCCCCCACGGTGCCAGGCGATCCTGGACTGTCTGCTTCAGATTCTGTCCCGGGAGGGCCCAGACCGCAGTGAGGTCTCAGTTCAGGGCCAGACACAACTGAAGAGGCTTAATATGCGCACGCGCAGCGGCAGCCACTCCCCAGGGGCCTAGTGTCCTGTGGTTTAATAACCGAGATGCCAGGGCATGCGCACAGCACACACCTGCACACGCGTGCTCCCTCACACGCCTCACGCCCCTGCAGTCAGCCCCGGGCCCCTCGAGTCCTCGGGTCCCCTCGTGGCCCCCGCGTCCCCCCTCACCTAGCCTTAGCCACGCCCCCCAGAGCCCTGCTCGGGCTTGGCCTTTGGCCTCAAGGTCAGGCTGCAGGTGTCCACGCAGAGCACCCCATCTTTCCTGCCCACGTCGGGGGCAGAGGGAAGTGCCATCTGTCTCTGAGGAGCCACAGGGTGTAGCCTCCGAGTGCTGTGGGCCCCTCACCCACCCCTCAGCCCCAGGCCCTGAGCACACAGCCGACAGAGATTCCGGAGCTGCAGGCAAAGCCGCCGGAAACCGGGGCCTGCAGGATGGGGATCAGGCATGGGCCTGGTCTGCATGTCCTGATCTGCGACGCGGGGGACAGTGAACTAGCTGCGGACCTGAGCAGGACCCGGCCCTGGCTCCCCCGGCTGGACCACTGCCAGCCAGGCCAGGCGTCCTGCCTGGAGGTGGAGGGGCAGGAGCGGCCTGCCTCAGTCTCCCCTCTGCCCCCAGGCTCCTGCTACTCACCGGCCTGGCGGCTGTGTTGCTGCTGGAGGCAGGCTCAGCCCGGACCCACCAGGTACATGTGGGCTCCTCACCCAGCCGCCCCCTGGGGCTGGAAAGGCACCAGTGGATGCGACCGCAGGGCCTGTGGGCACTGGGGCCCTCAGCAGGGTCTGTGGGACAAGTCTCGATGACCCCAGGTGAGCCGGGTGGAGGAGGGGGCCTGGTGAGGCTCCCCTGTGCTGAGAAGCCTGGGACCCCTCCATGTGCAGGGCTGCCCAGGGGGCCACGACTGCTGGGACCGTGTCCTTCCCCAGCCCCGGGTCCAGGCCACCCCGCCCTACAGCCTGGGAGTGCTCAGGTCAAGGGGGAGACACAGGCGGACGGGCACAGCTGTCCCGCAGCTGCTGGGCCCGCAGTGGGTCGCCGTTTCACCTGCTGCCCTGTCCCCGTCGGCCCTACAGGAAGGACAGGCAGAGGGACCAGCCCTGTGCTCAGGCCGCCAACTGGGGTGGGTGGAGCAGGTGCAGCCCCGTGCTGTCCCCAAGGCTCCCCAGAAACCACAAGGCCTCCAGTCAGAGACGCGGGGCAGGATGGAGCCAGCAGTGCCGTCAGGGGCTTCAGTGTAGCCCCTCCCAGCCGCCCGCCTCCCCCCACCCCCTCAGAGCACTGCGCTGAGCCTCACCTGCGGCCTCCCTCTCCCAGGTCCGCGTCCAGACCAAAGGCAAAGTCGGGGCTGAGCAGGACACAGTGGAGTGAGTGCCCCTGGCAGTCCTTCCTGCCCCCCGGGGACCTTGGTGGGTGGGGGGTTGTGTCCAGCTTTGGGGAGGGGAGGTACGGGAGCCCCTGAGAGCTGACTGACTGAGCAGAGCAGAGCGCGGGCCTGGGGGGTTCAGTGGCCCCCTGCTGCCCCACCCAGAGGATCGGGCCCCGCAGCCCGCCCCGGGCCCTGGCACCCACTAGGCTGGCTCCCGCTGGGGGGCAGCAGGCAGACAGCTGCACGGGCCGGGCAGCCAGGCCAGGGGATGCGGCCCTGTCTGCAGCCCCAGGCTCCGCTGACCTCTGCTCTGGCCAGGCCCCTGGAGCCTCCTCCAGGCCTCACCAGCAGGGCCTCCTTGGGCCCACACACAGGTGGGATGTGGTGGGGACCCTGGCCCGGGGATCTGGGCCAGGGCCGGGCCTCCTGCTGAGCACGGGACGTGAACCGGCGCTCTGAATCACAGGGCCTGGGATGCCCGCACGGTCGAGTCTCCGGAGAAGGACAACCAGCTCATCTGGCTGCTCATGGCACCCAAGCTCATGGCCACCAGCGAGGAGCAGCAAGGTGGGGGTGGGCAGTGCCCGCTGGGCTGGGGGGCATGGGGTCGGCTTGGACGACGACACCTTGGGAGGGAGACTGAGGCCACAGCCGCTCTGTCCGTCCCCAGGTGCCAAAGCCCCGGCAGAGAAGGAGGATGCCCTGGGCCGCGTCCTGGGCCCGAGGGAGGGTCCTGAGCCCGACCGGGACAGCCTGTTCCACGATGGGCCCGAGGAGGCCCTGGAGGAGGCAAGGCCCTGGGCTCGGGTGCTGCCCCCTTGCCAGGTGCTTCACGGACCTGAGGAGGACCGAGACCACATCTACCACCCCAGGGAGCCCTGACCCCACCCCGGCCAGAGAAAAATAAAGCCTGCAGAGGTGGCGGTGTCTCTTCAAGAATAGTGATTGTGGGCTGCCCGCTGTCTGGGAGAAGGGGGCCGCAGGCTGGCCCCACACATGCAGGGTCCCTGCAGCACAAGCTGAGCCCAGGCCCCCGCACCTGGCAGCAGCTGCTCCCCCCGGCCTCCCCGGGTGCTGGGATGGGCGGGGATGGAGCGGGATCGGAGAGCGGGAAGACTGGGAGGAGGGGACCCGGCACTGCTGGCTCAGGGGACGGGCCCAAGCAGACAGTGCACGGGCGAGTGGGGCAGACGGGCCCAGGCTCTGTGTCCTGCGGGTCGGCAAGCCCGACGTCGGTTGTGGGCGCACGTCACTGGAGCACTGCATGCCATCTGCGTGCAGGTGCAGAGGGCTTTCCCTGCAGCAGTCATGTTCCGGGGTATAGAGGGACATGTTTGGTGCCTGAACCCTCCCCACGGCTGGATGGAGCCCGCTCGGGGTTGAGACAATGAGATGCCCAGCGGGGACCTCACATGCCCTAGAGCCAGTATGTCACCCCCCCAGTTTCAAGCTCCTCAAGGATTCAAATGGTAGCCTCACCCCAAGATGCACTGCTCAGCAGCGTACAAGCCTCCCAGCCCAACAGGAGCTCTGGCACCCAGGCACCGATGAGGAAACCAAGGCCTGGCAGTGACTTGCTCACAGTGGAAGAAAGCGAAAGTCGTTCAGTCACGTCTGACTCTTTGCAACCCCATGGACTGTCCATGGGATTCTCCAGGCCAGAATACTGGAGTGGGTAGCCTTTCCTTTCTCCAGGGGATCTTCCCAACCCAGAAATCAAACTCAGATCTCCTGCATTGGAGGCGGATTCTTTACCAACTGAGCTATTAGGAAAGACCTGCTCAAGGTCTGGTCCTAACTGGGGCGGAGCAGTCCTGGTCTCCCCACCAGGCACCTCACCACCCTCTGGCTAAGTACAGGGGCAGTGCTGACTCAGTCCCCTGCTCCTGCCCCAGAATCGCCCAGGTCTCAGGCTGCTCTGAACCTCACACGGCCCCCATGAGGGCTCACGGCTCCTCCAGATCACCCTGTCAGCGAGGGGACAGCCCTCTCCGAGTGAGAGTACCACTGTCCTGAGGAGGGCAGACCCAGGTCCACGCTGGGCACGGCCTTGGGCAGCCCAGGGGGGTGTTTGTGGCCAAAGCTGCCTCCAGCCCCACTGGAGCCTGGTCATCTTGGGCCGTTCCTGCACTGAAGGCCCAGCTAGAGAGGCAGTGGGCACCAGGGGGCCTCAGGGTGAGCAGGGGACACTGGCGGAGGCCACGGACTGCTCAGCCCCCTGACTGAGATCCTGGGGAGGTGTGTTACCTGAAACAGCCGTGGCCCCTTCTGGTCCTTCATGGCAGACGGGGTGGAGGGGGTTAGGGGAGGCCTGCCTGGCTAGTTCCCCCTGCAACCCCCTAAACTCCCAGGGGCATTCGCACTGCTCAGCTGCCCAAAGGCGCTGAGTCCTCTGACTCCGAGCACGGTCCCCTCCCTCTGCCCCCATCACCAGGCAACGCATCTGCAGTGACCGCTGGTGAGGGAGGCACCTGGACAGGGAGGGGATGACTGAGGCCACCCTGCCGGGAGCCACGGCCTTCTGCCCTGATGCACGGCCCTGGGCACAGGCTCTTAGCCAGGCAGTGCCCACCAACCCTCACCGCCACACGCCTGAGCTGCCCCGAGTGGACCAGCTGTGACCCTTCCTCCCACGGCTGGAAAGGGTGGTCTGTGCTCTTCCCCGACTCTGAGCTTTTGGTTGAACCCAAGAGTGGAAGTGGCAGTTGGATTCAAGGGATTAGATCTGATAGACGGAGAGCCTGAAGAGCTATGAACAGACGTTCGTGACATTGTACAGGAGGCAGTGACCAAAACCATCTCCAAGAAAAAGAAATGCAAAAGGGCAAAATGATTGTCAGAGGAGGCCTTACAAATAGCCAAGAAAAGAAAAGAAGCTAAAGGCAAAGGAGAAAAGAAACATCTGAATGCAGAGTTCCAAAGAATAGCAAGGAGAGATAAGAAAGACTTCCTCAGTGATCAATCCAAAGAAATAGAAGAAAAAATAGAATGGGAAAGACTAGAGATCTCTTCAAGAAAATCAGAGATACCAAGGGAATATTTTGTGCAAAGATGGACACAATAATGGACAGAAATGGTATGGACCTAACAGAAGTAGAAGATATTAAGAGGTAGCAAGAATACACAGAAAACTGTGCAAAATAGATCTTCATGACCCAGATAATCATGATGATGTGATCACTTACCTAGAGCCATACATCTGGAGTGTGAAGTCATTTGGGCCTTAGGAAGCATCACTACGAACAAAGCTAGTGGAAGTGATGCAATTCCAGTTGAGCTATTTCAAATTCTAAAAGATGATGCTGTGAAAGTGCTGCACTCAATATGCCAGCAAATTTGGAAAACTCAGCAGTGGACACAGGACTGGAAAAGGTCAGTTTTCATTGCAATCCCAAAGAAAGGCAATGCCAGAGAATGCTCAAACTACTGAACAATTGCACTCACTTCTCATGATAGCAAGGGTCATGCTCAAAAATTCTCCAAGCTAGGCTTCAACAGTATATGAACTGAGAACTTCCAATGTGCAAGTTGGATTTTGCAAAGGGCAGAGGAACCAGAGATCAAATTGCCAACATCCGTTGGATCATAGAAAAAGCAAGAAGATTCCAGAAAAACATCTACTTCTGCTTCATTGACTCTGCTAAAGCCATTGACTGTGGATCACAACTGTGGAAAATTCTTAAAGAGATGGGAACACCAGACCACCTTACCTGCCGCCTGAGAAATCTGTATGCAGGTCAGGAAGCAACAGTTAGCAGGGTCGGGCCTGGTTAGTACTTGGATGGGAGGAAGCAACAGTTAGAACTGGACATGGAACAACAGACTGGCTCAAAATTGGGAAAGGAGTACATCAAGGCTGTATATTGTTACCTTGCTTATTTAACTTATATGCAGAGTATATCATGTGAAATGCTGGGCTGGATAAAGCACAAGCTAGAATCAAGACCGCTGGGAGAAATATCAATAATTGCAGATAGGCAGATGACACCACCCTTATGGCAGAAAGTGAAGAGGAACTAAAGAGCCTCTTGGTGAAGGTGAAAGAGGAGAGTGAAAAAGCTGGCTTAAAACTCAACATTCAAAAAACTACGATCATGACATTCAGTCCCATCACTTCATGGCAAATAGGGAAACAGTGGAAACAGTGGCAGACTTTATTTTTGGGGGGCTCCAAAATCACTGCAGGTGGTGACTACAACCATGAAATTAAAAGACACTTGGTCCTTGGAAGAAAAGATATGACCAACCTAGACAGCATATTAAAAAGCAGAGACATTACTTTGCCAAAAGAATTCTGTCTAGTCAAAGCTATGGTTTTTCCAGCAGTCATGTATGGATGTGAGAGTTGGAACATAAAGAAGGCTGAGCGCTGAAGAATTGATGCTTTTAAACCGTGGTGTTGGAGAAGACTGAAGAGTCCCTTTAACTGCAAGGAGATCCAACCAGTCTGTCCTAAAGGAAATCAGTCCTGAATGTTCACTGGAAGGACTGCAAGTAGATGAAACCAGCCAATCCTAAAGGAAATCAGTCCTGAATGTTCACTGGAAGGACTGATGCTGACGCTGAAACTCCAATACTTTGGCCACCTGATTCAAAGAACTGACTCCTTAGAAAAGACCCTGATGCTGGGCAAGATGGAAGGAAGGAGAAGGGGACGACAAAGGATGAGATGCTTGGGTGGTACCACCGACTCAATGGATGTGAATTTGAGGAAGCTCCAGATGGTGAAGGATAGGGAAGCCTGGCGTGCCGCAGTCCATGGGGTTGCAAAGAGTTGGACACAACTGAGTGGCTGAACAAGAACCTTCTGGTGGGCACAGGGGATCCCCAGCAAGAGCTTGGACTAAGTGAAAAATGCTGTGATTTGTCATCAGAAACATGTTTGGTCCTCATCCCTGATCCTGGCACGGAGGTCCTTTCCTGTGATGAGTGTGATCCTTCACTGTGTGAATGAGGTGACTCTGGGAAGGTCCCTAAGGATGGGGCCAGTTGCCAGGGAACCCACCAGGAATTGAGGATTGGAACTTCCAGCCCCACACCCAGTCCTGAGGAGGCTGGGTGTTGGATCAATTGCCAGTGGCCAGTGCATGAACCCTCAGAGAAAACCAGGCTGGTCTAGGGCACTCTGGGGTTGCTGAGCATGTGTAAAGGTGGGGAGAGTGGTTCCCCGGGGGGCAGGGATGCCCCCCCAGGACCTCCCCACCTGGCGGTTCCCGAATCCTGTCCTTTTAGGGTAAACGGTGATTCAGGGAGTGGTTGTTTCCCCGAGTTCTGTGAGCTGCTCCAGGAAATTAATCAAGCCTGAGGAGGGGTTGTAGGGACCCTGAATCTACAGCCAGTCAGCCAGAAGCACTTGGGACTGACATCTGGAGAAGGGCGTGGTCGGGGCAGTGCTGTGGGATCCGACGCATCCCCGGGCAGGCGGTGCCAGGGGCAAGCTGGAGAGCAGGTCATCCGCTGGGGCCGCAGGGCTGCCTGGTGGGGGTGGGAGCCCCCCAGTTCCCCCCTCTCCCCCCGGGGAATTGGGGACCAGGATCATTAAAGGCTCTGGTCCTAAATGGGCAAGAGACTGACTGTTCATGTCATCAAAGACAAAAGGCAGAAGGCCACACACACCTATGAGAAGATACTCAACATCATTAACCAGTAGGGAAGGAGAATTAAAACTGGAGGCGACATCAGGACAGTCCCGCTAGAGAGGGATGAGGACCAGGGCTGGAACGCGTATTCCCTGGGGCTGGGGAGGTCAAGTGGCTCAGCGGCCTGAAACAGTCTGGGGGCTTCTTACAAAGTCACACACGTGTGCCCTACGGCCAAGCCTTAAACAGAGGTGTTTACCCCAGAGCTCACATTCACAGCAAGCTTATCTGTAACAGCCAAGA